GTGCTAACAGGACTGCTAACAATTCTAGGCAGTTTATGTGGAGCCTGGACTGGTGTGGAGTCCAGGTTCTCCTCTGCATGCATGTTGGTGAAGCGCACACAGGACACACTGGCCACCCCCAGCTCAGGCGACCACTGTCTCGCCACGACACAGCCAATTTTGCAAAGATGCCTGCGGGTTGCAACGGCCTCAAAAGCTGACCCATGCCAACCCATGTTGATTAATAAAAAATCTGAATTACATCCATAGATGGCGACGCTTTATGTTTACTAGAATTACTTTTCTGTGGCAAAGTAATTTTACATCCAACAATTACTCTGAAAACTTCAGTTTAGTGATCTATAAGATATCCTGCTAACAATACAAATCCATTTACATATTATAAATAAGTCATCTGGTTTTAAGAGGTGATTAAAGCAGATTAAATGTAATAAATAAAATATAGTTTGAGCCATAAAACAACATGCTGCACTGTAAAAGTTTACCAAAGGCTTTTATCTCTTGTATCAGATTTCTTATCAGCAATAAATTCATATCTATTGTTTTTTTCTGAATATGTCTAGCAAAATCCAGTCATCCTTGCTGCAGCAGCAGACCTTCCTTGAAAAATGTGAAACCTGGATGGATTTCCTGGTCCAAACAGAAGGAAATCTAGGTGTGGAAATCTCTGGGAATTACCAGAGTTTAATGGAGCAGCAAAAAGCCCATGAGGTTTGAGTTCACAACAGTAAATGAAACAGGACCTTTCTGTTTTATGGATTAATCATCATTATTTGTCTGACAGTTGTTCCAAGCAGAAATGTTCAGTCGGCAGCAGATCCTCCACTCCATCATCAGTGACGGACAGAAGATGTTGGAGCAAGGTCAAGTAGATGACAGGTACAAATCCACAACTTCTCTTTAATCTTTGATTTGTTGGCCAAAACAAAGTTAAAGACCTTAATATTCCTAGAAGGAATTCATACTGCCTGCTGCATTTTATGTCATAGTTTTAAACTAAGGTCCTATGTTGAGAAACAAATATCATGAACAACCTTGAAACCTTTTATGCACTAAGTTGATATTTTAAGACCTGATGTGCTGGAGCTCAGAGTAAGTGTAATGCTGTTTTCAGACCCAACGCGATTTGAGCGTCATGTTTACAAGCAAAGACTATGGTGGATGTGTGTCAAAGGTCATCGGAAAGTGTTGCGGCATGTTTAGTGCACCTGGTTTGTTTGACACGTGTAACGCATGTTAATATTTAATTAGTATTTGTAAAATTAACAAAATTTGAGCCATTTCTTTGTTTAATGAGGTTGAGCAGCTGCGGCACCATCTCGAATTTGGGTTCACCCTGTGTACATTTAAACTCTTTTCAATAAAGTCTGCCCAGTAGTTCATGAGATTTTTTGCTAACAAACTATTCCATGATTGCCCACCTTTCATAGTGATAGACAATGGCTGCGTTTCCATTGACCATGAAAATGCGCAAATTAGAATTTCGAAAATAAATTTGCTCAATGGCAACGCGTCAATTTTGAAAAAAATTACGTTTTTTGACTAAATGTTTTTACGCTAGGATGGGGTAGTATTTTGGCCGTATCGAAATTGGTGTTTTCCGCAAAACTGCAATGGAAACACTTTTTTCGCATCACAGGAGTCACATGATCAACAACCGTCTGTTTCTACCGGAGAAAAAGACGACGACGAAGAAGATAACAGGAAGTAGAAGTAGTATAAAATAGTAAACTCACCGACTACAATTTCCCAAAAACACAGCATACGTAGCCGCTCCCAAGTAGGGACTTGTCTCTGGAAAGCCTCGATAAAAGACGCCGACGTCTCCTCTGATGATGAGCGCTAGTGTCGTGGTAGCAACATGCTATGTGTTTACATCCATCGCCGTCATGTTTGTAAAGACTTATCACGAGAACAAACGTATTCACGTGTGATTTTAATAGCATTTCTTACTTAATGGAAACACCGCAGTTGCAAAACTGTGTTTTTTCCGACATTAACAGAATATCAACAAAGTTTTGCGCACATTTGCAATGGAAACGCAGCTACAGATTCAGATCACCTTGTCTAAGGCTACTAGACTTTCTGACCTGACTGTAAGTTTGATGTTTGTGGGTCATTTTTCTTCATCTCCTGTAGAGACGAGTTCAACATGAAGCTAGCTCTACTGAGTAACCAGTGGCAGGGGGTGGTGCGACGGGCTCAGCAGAGGCGGGGCATCATTGATGGACTCATACGTCAGTGGCAGCGCTACACAGAAATGGTGGAGAAGTTGCAGAAATGTCTCTCAGAAGTCTCCCACCCAGCAGAGGCGCTGCATGCAGGAAACACTGTTCCTTTGCAACAAGCTCGCTCCATGCTTGATTCTGTTCAGGTACAAATGAATCATCCTGGTTTGAAAACTTCATGCTGCAACAGATAAAGTAGGAACTAGTGGAGGTTGAAAAATTGCTACACTCATTTGTTCTTAGTTGATCATTTGTATTAATCAAAAGCATTCAAACGTGTTGATTGGGCAGTACAACTGTAAAAAGTTGAGACATTGCGTGAAGTGTAAATAAATGCAATGCAATATCTTTATATACAGTATATCTTTATCCATGAAACCATATTTTAAACCATAATAACTGGGTCAAATGTTTAAACTAAACTAAAAACTGCACCAGTTTTAGCTAAATAATGTTTGTTTAATGTTGTTCTAGGAGCAACAAACAGCTGTAAATATATATAAAACAAATAAGAAACATCTGAAGAGGCTTTTTATTACTAAGCAGGTAAATTGCCAACATGTCAGTCAGAGGAGTGGATATAAAGACATTTAGAAGTGAAGCTGGACAGAGCTTCACCAGTGGTTAAAGGGATCCACGATTAGTTGTAACATTAGACTTTATTTGATAAACATATATTTTAACTGTAAAATAAAGACTGTAAAAATACTGTAGGCTGTTTAGTTTTGATCATTTTTAAGCTAAAAGTTAAAAAACATTACACGGGCGGGTAAGACCCTAAGAAGCACACCTTTGGACAGTAAGACCTGGACGTCTTTTAAGTCAACTTAGAGCAGGGGTCTGCAACTTTTACAATCACAAGAGCCTTTTC